CATAACAAAGACGATCTCGAATTCGTCACTTAATGCCCATGTTTATTGGGACACCATGTATACCCAAACTCATTACAAGTTATATGAGTCGTTAGAGAACGATGATGGGTGGGGTCCCAATAAATTAAGATGAAGAATTATTGTGAAAAAATGTTCTTGTTTTGCCAAGAATTGTATTTAGATTATAATATTAATGAAGAGTATAATTAAGAGAAATCAACCAAGAAAATGAGAAAAAACTGGCACACAGCTTAAACCTATCTCTGCTGGGGTACTTGAAAACCAGGATATGCTGGGGGGGGGGGTCAATTTGACCCCCCCCCTCTAAATCCCATGTTTGAGGTCCAAATATGACAAATGATACATCATTGGAAAGCTCTTGTGCTCTACTTTTAGAATCTGCAAAAAAATTTGCAAATTTGCAAAAATTTAATTTTTTATCACAAAATCCAGTTATATAGTAAAATGTTTGCAAAAAAAAATTTGTCCAAAAAATGAAAAATTATACATTTTTGAAAATTGCTTTACTTTTAGAATCTGCAAAAAAATTTGCAAATTTGCAAAAATTGATTTTTTTATCGCAAAATCAGGTCATATAGTAAAAAATTTTACAAACAAAATTTGTCCAAAAAATGAAAAATTATACATTTTTGAAAAACCCTTGACCATGCCATTTCAAATATGCAAAAATGTTTGCAAAATTTTAAATGACCTGATTTTTAATCAAGAAAAACTAAAAATGTGCAATCTTTTTCTCGCAAAACTTGTGAAATTCGTTTCCTTATGTCAAAGGCTTTGTAAAAAGATGAATTTTATCAAAATCTGACAAGTGGAAGGGGGTCAAAACAAAGATTTAGTTTGTTACAGAAAAAAGCAGTCATTCAGGCAGTGTGTCTGAAGACTCAGGCAGTTATCATTAAAGCCCAGTTTTAGGCCTAAAGGGAGGGCTTTGGGTATGTAGGAAAAGTCAGAAAATTTCAACAGCCTCAGACCAATACTTTTTGAAAAACTACAGGGCGGGGTCAAATTGAAACCCCCCCCCCAGCAGGAATGGGGTTAAGAACAAATGTTAAAGTAGGATTAGGAACAAAACCAATGCCTAAAATGTTCTCAAATATTTCATTTTGCAACAACTATAGATTAAAGTAAAGTACAGAATGTCCCTTGAAACATGAGAGTTGGTGAATTTCTTCTTCAATTTACTGTGTAAATGGATAGTTAAGACTTTTTTGTTCTGTTATTTATTTTACTACGGTGGTAGGCGATTATATCAATATAATGAAGACGACTTTCGATTTACATTTTAATTTATATGAAGCTTATAAACAGCGTAGATACACAAAAAAAACGAAATAAAAAGCAGCTGTCAATTAAAAAGTTTCTCGTTAATTCGTTAATTACTTGTAATGGAAACTTGTAATTCGAAAAAACTTGTTAACAATTAAAACTTAAATAAATTGTATTTATATTATCGCCAACTACCGAATAAAATCAATTTTACTAAGTAGATATAATATTTTTTTATTATTCTCTTTGGTACAGGGTGTCCCACGAAACATGACAGTATGCAAGAGGACTTGAATGTCGTCTTGTAAAGGCTAAACAAATTCTAAATCTTTTCCAGCTAAGTACCCTGCTAATTTTCTTACAAAATATTTCTTACAAAAAAATCATAAAATCTTAAAATTCAAAGTTTTAAAAGTATCCAGAGAAATAAATTGGGTCCTGCGGGCACCCCGTTTATTATTTCTAAAAAAACATTGTCATTTTGGAAAATTTTAATCTATATTGAAAAATTTGAATTCGTAAAACTAATTATAATTATAATTATTATTTGAGCCCATCTTCTATATCAACTCTGATTTGTTTCTGTATCGGTGAGCAATTTAAATTTTCGTTGTAAAATATAAAACAATAACAAGCTTTTGAGCATCCATAAACCTTCCCTTGGGTCATGTGAGTTGCCTCACAAATTTTGGGCCCGATCGGTTCAGCCGTTTTGACGTTTATCGGGTACAAACATAAAAACAAACATACCCCACCCAGACAAGCAACGTATATATAAACTAGGCTTTTAGGCGCTTCGCGCCCATCCTCAATTGCAAACATGTTCTCTTAGTTTACATTGTAAAACAAAAACCAAAAAAGTTCGCGGATCTTATCAAACAAATTTGTGGATTTTCAAAGTTTTATTTGAGGCTGATTTGTAAAATTTTGATTATGTATAAACCTTCCTGTGAGGTCCCACAAAACATTTGGGCCCGATCGGATCGGCCGTTATGACGTTGAACGATTACGAACAAACAAACAAACAAGACAAGCAATGTATAGATTTGGGCGCGAAGCAATTTGAATAATTTACTTTCTACGCGATCATAGACAATAGTAGGCGGGGCCACAAGGTTCTTACAGCAACACATAATTCAATTTGAACCCATTCATCATACATTTCACATTTGATCTACTTAGACAATAGACATTCCAGGGCTCCGCTCGTGCCAAAGCAAGGAAGGGGGCTGGGGGGAGGGGGGTTTTCTTTCTGAACATTCTCATAAAAAAAATACCAATTTGTTTATAATTTTTATAAAAAGCTTCAGTTAAACGATAAAATAACCGGCAAAATCAATAATAAAAAAATTTAAAAAACAAAAACAAGAACATTGGTTTTCAGATCCTTTGAGATATGCATATATTAAGTAGTTAAACTGTAAACATCAAAGATCTAATGCAAGGCCGTTGGAATTCGGACATGAAGACCCTTACTTGCAGACAATCAATATTAACTGCAGGGTGTCCCACGAAACATTACAGTTGGTAAATAGTTTTGAATGTCGTCTTCCATACACTGTACTAGATATTAAAAGCTGTTGGCAGTTTATTTTGCTTAAAATATTTTTTGCTCCAAAATATTTTACTTTAAAATAAATTTTACTATAATGTGACTTCTATATAATATTTTTATTGTCTTTGGTATTAACAACTAATTATGGAAGAAGAACTATTTACCAACTGTCATGTTTCGTGGGACACCCTGTATTATAAATTTGTTTGTTTATACTAATACTAGTTCTTGTGAGAAACATGTGTACGTCACAGTTAACCATGGTTACGAACTACTGGGTTACCCACATAGAGAATAGAATATATAGAGAGGAATTTACTAGAAAAAAAAAATTTACTGAAATAGGCTGGTTTCATAACTGACCAATGATCATTTCACATAGACTCTATGCCTTCCACTGTACAAACGATGATTTTCCGTTATAACTATAAATCAAATGATGTTTTTATTCACCTAATTTATTATAAAGTTTATTTAACAGCTTTAAAAATTTCGAAATTGAAATGAATAGTCTAGGGAACATACTGTATTAATGTACTCTACTGCATATAATTTGTGAACATTTACATGATTTGTACACTTTGAACTCCCTTTCAGGCTGAAAGGGACTGAAAAAATTCATACCGAGAGATTCTTTTAATTCCTCTCTATATATTCTATTCTCTATGGTTACCCACAAAGGATATGACTACAAAATTCTTTAACTTTTGCGTTTCAAGGTTAAAATAAGTATTATGCCATGATTATTTCTTTATTTGACCTTTTTTAAAGATTGGAAAGAAAATAAAAAAAACCACTTTACAGTTACAGGAAATCCTAAATATAAAGCAAAAGTATTTTTGCGGTAATGTCGTCTCTGAAGTCTTATCCTTTTTACAATTTTCATCAAAGACTTCTACGCATTAACGGAACGGTATCGTTAAACAGATTATACAAAATTGCATGTATATGAATTTTCGTATAAATTTGGCACAGTTTTATATCAATTTCTCGAGACAGAAACATCAGATAGATGTCTTTTATCATAAGTATCGTTCAACGCCTGAGATTATCGGGTTACATCCTATACCCCCTTTCATTTTTCCTTTACAGTCCCTTTAACTTGTGAATTGGAATTTTATGTAATAAGTGGCTGTTAGATGGCAGTCAAAAACCTTGTGAGGAAATGTAGAATGTCTGTTGACCTGCTTAGAGCCAAGTCCCGTGAGCGCTTATGAGCAGTCTGTGTATATAGTTTCCAAGAAGAACGGTGTGAGTGAGACCCACAATTAAATAAGTCTTACATAGAAAATGTTTTTTTTTCTGTTTAAAATATGGTTTTACAATGATTCAATCCAAACCTTATCGAGTAAATGAAGAAGGTGTTAGTTCCACACTTTTAGTTTCTGTTTTCAAATCATTCACATTTGCTTTCACAGCTATGTCTGTCTGGAAATTGCTGCATTTTTCTGTAAGTATCGTTTGCTTATATATTTCCCCGAGAAACATTAGTGTACTTTTTTGGGGACAAAGTGTTTGATGTATTTCTCAATACAGGTGGCTAACTCTCATNAGGGGGGCAGGGCTGTATTTTTCTCTTCTTGTAACAGCAAATACATATTTGAAATAATTTTTAAATTTATTTTAGACATGGATTCAGACGAAACGCGCCCTTCTCTTTCTTCACACAATTTATTTCGTTGGATTCGACAATAAGAAGAGTAAGAACTACGAATTTGGACCGCCAAAATAGATTTAGTTTTTACTGTCCAAGATACAATAATCAAGTTTTTTTTTGTTTCCAAAAAGGCTGCAGAACCGATGGCCAGATTTTACTGATATAACCCCAGGGAAGGTTTTTATGGCTTTTATGTTTTTAAACAATTTTCCTGGTACAAATGTCAAATTTTTTATTTTTAAAAATCCACTAATTTGAAAAGAAAATACGCAAAGATCTTTATTTATTGCAGAGTGCGATGAAAAATGGCGACATAATAAGCTATTAATTGTTAGTATACCTTGTTCATGTTTTTTCCAAATAAACAAATTTTATTTTGCAAAATCTTGATTAAAATTCGCTTTATTGGTTTCATGTTGTTTAAATGAAATATAAAAAAATAAAATGCTTGAATAAATATTTCGCCTTATGCTCCCTTCCCCTCCAATTTCCTGCCTTTTCAAGGGAAGCATCTCCAGTTGCAACTGCGTAGAGACTGTCTAGTACGCTGCGTATAGACTAGGAAATCCACCTCGTAGAATCTATATCAATATTCAAGATGTACGTATATCTCTTGTAAATAAAGGAACTAGCTTCACCAGCCTTGTGTATATAGAGATGGCGCGTTCGTATTTCTTTTCATTTCTTTTGTCCATCGTTCGTGAACGACCCATTTCGTTTGTTCTCAAAATTATTGCTCATTTTCCATCTATTTCGTTTGTTCGTTCAGTAAAATCGTTTTTTAAATCAAATTGTTCGTTTACTAACATTTTTTTTATTCAGTAGAAAATCAATTTTTCCAAGTTTGTTTTAAAAAAGCGTTCTTTCAGAAAAAAACAATCGTTTTTTGAAAGACTTGTTCAAAAAAATTTATGTTTAACAGTATCATAAAAAAGTTCGTTTTTAAACGTCCGTGATTTCCGTTCGTTGCAAACCACAAGTAATCTGAATCCTGGAAAAATACAAGGATTTACTAAATTAAATGTAAACAGTTTTGCACATCATGAAGAAGTGTTTCCAAGATATAACTTGCGTAGAATAATGATTTGAAGATAAGAGGAATCTTGTTCATTGTTCAACCTTGAACATAAGGGTTGGAAGAATGTTGCTGTAAAATCGGCTCTATACCCCTCCATATTCATTTTTTACTGGTCAAAATTATAATCCTAGGAAAACAAAAGAGTTTGAAAAAATATAGATTTTCGGTAAATTTAAATGAATTCAAATATAAACAAATACCACCATTGATAATGTTACTGTGTCGGACAAAAATTCACTAAATTATAAAATCGTTGATTTTAACCCACACCATGTTAACTTTACTACAGGGGTTCCCACAAATGATAAGACCATAAAGACGACCTTAAAATATATACATTTATGTAATTATGTGTATTTTTGTGTTTTTGATTCAGTTTAATATTAAGAATAAAATTTCAATAGTCTACAGGGGGGCTTTGTGAAAACAGCTTTTAGCTATCTGAGCCTCTCCCCCCCCCCTGCTGCAGCTGCACTAATTTTAATTACATTTTAGTTTTTAGTCTTATATATTGTTTAATTTATTATAATGTTTTGCAGTAAAATATATAATTTGATTTGATTTGAACTCAATTGAAATATTATCTGTAAGCAAGACACAGCAAGAACTGCTGGGCGGAACGTCCGGCTAACTTTGAGCGACCATTAAACGCAATTTCTCTTGAAGATTTAAGAAAATATATCTTTAGTTTAACATTTATTTTTAACGTTAAACTAAAGGCCTTTTTTTGTAAAAAATAAGACTGTACACTGTAAAAAAAAGACTCTAGAGTATTCCAAAATTTAAAAATAAGGTTGTTAATGTAATTTTAGAAAAATTTGGTAATATATCACGGAAAACTTTAATTCCAGTTTAACTCAGGTTTAAACCAGGCTGAATTCAGACTTAACTCAGCTTTAAATTAGATTTAAATCAGGTTTAACTCAAGTTTAACTCAGGTTTAATCCCAGGTTAATTCAGGCTTAACTCAGTTTTAAACCAGATTTAAATTTGGTTTAACTTAGGTTTAACTCAGGTTTAATTCAGGTTTAATTCAGGTTTAACTTAGGTTTAACCGAGGTTTAACTCAGATTTAACTCAGGTTTCAGTCAGGTTTATTTTTGGTTGCGCCCAGGCTTAACACGGGGTCAACTCAGGTTTAACTGAGGTTAAAACTCAGGGTTAAATCAGGTTTAACTCAGGTTTAACTCACGGTTATCTCTGGTTTAAGTCAGGTTTCTGTTGCCTGTATTGAACTTTAAAAGTTCAAAGTCTCTGAAACGGATTGTACACTTTAAACAGTTTGCCAGTATATTCTGCCAACTTAAATTGCACTGAAAAAAAATGTGCAAAGCTGAATCATGCTGAGTACTGAAGAGTATTCACGTACCTAATTATTTAGTAGAAGTTAAATCTGTCGTTTCATTGCTCCCTCCGAACCCCTCCTTTTAATGGATTTATGTTCACTCCTACAGGTTTACCCTGGTTTAAACATGAGATAAACCAGGTTTAAAGGGAGAGACCGGCTAGACATAATAGTTGAGCTGAAAGTGTAGTATTGTATAAAAAACGTTTAGGATTCATTTGTTACTAATGAGACATTTTTATGGTGTACAATTTTCCAATAAGAGCGTAAAGTCGTTTGTGAGGAATATGTTCCAAAAAAACAAATTTGTCTATGAAATATTATTTTTAAACATGTTTTGTCCGTGTCATTAAATAATTGTAAAAACTGTGTCTTCTTCTGCTGACAGAAGAACAGAAACAAAAGGTGAAATATTAAAAACGACTTAACGCTCTTATTTAAAAATTGTACACCGTAAAGATGGCTCATTAGTATCAAATGAATCCTTAAGTATTTTTCTACAATACTGAACTTTCAGCTCAACTACCATGTCTAGCCAGTCTCTCTCTTTAAACCTGAGTAAAACCTTGTTTTAACCTTGGTTTAATTGCCAATGGATATTGTTGTGGGTCGTTGTCAAATTTATATATTTTTTACTATCACGTTCATGTTTAATGTTAAATAGACTGACCCTCCTTTTTTCTATAGCGCATAAGGACTGAACTTAATTTCTACAGCGTATTGAAAAATAAATAGATAATGTTGTTGTTGTTGTTGTTGTAACAACAGCAGACATCTCTGAAGTATCATCCTTTGTGGATAACCCTGTGTTTTCATTACCCGGGCTCGTAAAGATAATTAATTCCATACTTAAATAATATTTTAATTACAACTTCTTTACACTGTAAACAGTTAAACCAAACATTTTGAGGGAGCTGAAACTTAAGATATTACGCACAATGGTAGAAAAACATAGTTTCGGAGGAAAGTTATGATTTAGTTCGAATGTTCTCAAAAGTTCCCTGCTAAAATTCTTAAACTTGAATTTACTCAAATCAAAAGATACCGAAAATTACTTAAAACAAATAAAATTAATGTCTAGTTTAAAAGTTGCAGTCTCCTTTGCCATATTTGTATTGCTGCACCCCGGGTCTGTATTTTAGCACCATATTTATTGCTGATTTACCTGTCCAATTTTTGCAACAATTCAAACCCTTTCCTGTTTGCATGATTTTATTTGCAATAATAAAACATTAATTGTTTTATCAAAATAATGATGATAAATGTCAGGTTCAAATTGATATAATTCATAACATGTCTTCTTTAATTATTTTCTATGATTATTTTCAAAGGATTAATGAATTTGATCGATTTTCAGATGAAAAAAAACTGTATTAGGGGTGTATACTTAGAGTTTATGCAAGTCGCAAAGTCGTGTCTCTAAGTCTGAATAAAATGTCTTTCTCCTTTTCAAACTTCAGCTGAAAATAAGTAGTTGGCAAAATCCTGTGCATATTGGTATTATTGTAACATTATATTCCAGCTTTTTCTAAAATATTTCAAAGCAAATTCATAAAAAATAAAACTGCAGAGCGTTGCACATCAATGCTTTCTTTTGCAAACTTAATGTCATGAAATAATTTTATTTCATGACATTTGATTTCTGCTACTAAGAGAGATTTTTTTGCATGGCTATTAGTCTCTTGAATTTATATTTTTCAAACAAGAAAATCGGGAATTTTCTTTAATTTCAACTTTTTATTTTAAACCAGCTGAGATTTGACCAGTTTAAAGCAGTAACTTTTTTACTTCAAGAAACGTAACGGAAATGTCATAAGTAAACATAAACGAAAGAATATTCTAAATTATTGATCAGATAAAGGTTGTAACGGTGCCATTGTGAAATGGGCATTGCCATCTCTGAAATTTCGCAGTCTTTTTAAAAATATTTTTTTAAATTTTTTTTATTTTACTTGTTCAGGAAACTGTTGGTTGTGATCTGTCTTCTCTCTGCATACGTCTCTGCCTCACCCATGGATATCGGAGCAGGTAGGATTTTTCAAATTGTTTGGACAGGGTGTCCCAATAAACATGTAGGATTTTTCAAACTATTTGGACAGGGTGTCCCTATAAACATGTAGGATTTTTCAAATTGTTTGGACAGGGTGTCTCTATAAACATGTAGGATTTTTCAAATTGTTTGGACAGGGTGTCTCTATAAACATGTAGGATTTTTCAAATTGTTTGGACAGGGTGTCCCTATAAACATGTAGGATTTTTCAAACTTTTTGGACAGGGTGTCCCTTTAAACATGTAGGATTTTTCAAATTGTTTGGACAGGGTGTCCCTTTAAACATGTAGGATTTTTCAAATTGTTTGGACAGGGTGTCCCTATAAACATGTAGGATTTCTCAAACTATTGGGACATGGTTTCCCAATAAACATGAGAATTAAGAGACGACTTCTCTATCGTCTTTGTGTCGCGCAGCATTATTTTAGCAGTATTCCAGTTAATAAAATTTATTAAAAAACCACTAGTCTTGGGGATCCCAACATTAAACATTAATTGTACCTTCAAAATTGACGGAGATATTAAAAAATCTTCCAGATTCAAATTTAATAAATGACAAAAAATAGTTTAAATGCTTAACATCTCCGTCAATTTTGAAGATACACAGATTGTAGACCACATTTTGGAAAGCTCATGAGACTTGTATTCTTTTTTTTACACACACTTGTTGTCAGTTATCTACCAATGGAAATCAAAGACGATTTTTAAGTCGTCTCTAAATGCTCTGCATGTTGATTGTGATACCCTGTAACCCTCTGTATTTTATACTCACAAATCATAATAAACTAAAATGTTTGAATTGTAAATATCAGTATTTGCTTCTGTGTTTATAAAGTAAGCACCCAATACCCACAGAATTTTAAAATTTGTTTAAAAACTGGAAAAAGGCAGATTTTATCGTTTTAAGGGAGGGTTGCCACTGAAATGGTCACTACCAGATGATAAACAAAATTTTTGAAATGAAATATAATTTTTATTTTATTTTAAGGTGGAGTCTATGATTCTCCATTTGCTACTGATAACTATGTGAGACAGTTCGGGTTTATGTTCGGAGGAGGCAGAAGTGGGTTTCTAGGACTTAAAGCACTCCAGGTAGTTGGACTAGTAGGTTAGAGATGGGTTTCTAGGACTAAAACACTTCAAGTAGATGGACTAGTAGGGAGAAATGGATTTCTAGGACTTAAAGCACTCCAGGTAGTTGGACTAGTAGGGAGAAATGGGTTTCTAAGACTAAAGCACTCCAAGTAGATGGACTAGTATGGAGAAATAGGTTTCTAGGACTAAAACACTCCAAGTAGATGGACTAGCAGGGAGAAATGGGTTTCTAGAAATAAAACACTCCAACTATGTAGAATAGTACCTGGAGAAATGGGTTTCTAGGACTAAAAACACTCCAGGTATGTAGAATAGTAAGGAGAAATGATTTTCAGGGCTTAAAATACCCCAGGTAGGTGGAATAGTAGGGATATATGGGTTTCTAGGACTTAAAACACTCCTGGTAGGTGAAATAGTAGAGGTTCTATGGAATTTTGGACTTAGAACACTACAGATAGGCAGAACTGGTTCTATAGGACTTAAAGCACTCCAGGTAGTTGGGATAGTATGGAGAAATTAGTTTCTAGGACTAAAATAACTCCAGGTAGGTGGAATAATATGGAGAAATGGGTCTCTAGGACTTAAAGCACTCCAGGTAGATTGACTAGTTAGGAGAAATGGGTTTTTATGACTTAAAAGTACTCCAGGTAGGTGGAATAATATGGAGAAATGGGTTTCTAGGGCTTAAAGCACTCCAGGTAGGTGGAATAGTAGGATAGGGGGCTCTGAACTCAAAGCCCCCCTGTGATAGGTTAAACCTGTCAGCATAGTAAAATAGGAACAGAAAGAATAAGTTTTCCAATTGCCATATTAGGAAAAATTGAATAGCAGAATATATATTCTTTACAAATATGGTCATGGGTCATAGATACTCGTTTTTTGTTGTATTTAAAATTTATAAAACACCATATTTAGTTTAAATCTAGGTAGAAAATCAAAAACCTTGAGTACAGTAAGCACAAGTACAGGGTGTCCCAAAAACATGACAGTTTGCAGACGCATGTCGTTTTTAACCTTTGTTATAATTTGTGGCATTCACCTGGTCCTGACTTTTCCAAACTGTGGTCTGCCTTTTTGTGCTTTCACTATAACCGAACAAATGAAGTTTAGAAATTGACAATTTTGATTTTATTTAAAAAAATTAAATCTGGACAAAACTAGTTATATCTCCGATAAAATTGAAAGAACAGAAAAGGCAGACCACATTTTGGAAATTCCAGGACTAGGGGAGTTTTGTAATTACTATTTAAAATATATACATGTAAAAGCAGGTTGACAAATGAATGTCATATATTATTTCTAAGATCAAAGACGATATTTAAGCTCTTTCTCTTCGCTTCATGTTTCATGGGACACCCTGTAATTTAAGAACATGTGACTGAGGTTCCTTGGAAGAATCTAAGGTGCGTTCATTGTTTAGCTTGGTTCATGGGAACTTGTAACCTCTCCCACTCTCTTCCACCTGTTAATCANCCAACTCCCCCCCCCTTCTTGTTCATTTTCCGTTTTTATACTTCCATTTCTTTAATAAATTTTTTTCGGCACGGTCGAAGTGAACAGTGATAGATGAATTCGTATCATCAATCAAATTTTACCTTTGCCACCTTCGTCTGGATGCATTGATCTCTTGTGACAGTTTTTCTACTTTTCTTCTTTTTTTCACATTTCACTTTATTCCTCTTTAGTTTTCTTAACTTCTTTACTTTCATCCATTTTAAAATTGTTTTTCCTTTCCCACTTCTTTCATCCTGTCCAAAATCATTTCATCCTTTCATAATCCTTTCATTCATTTTTTAACCATCATCACTTTCCTTTTCTACTTTTCCACTTTCTTTCCTTAATTCCCATTTACTTTCATCCATTCTCACTTCCTTTCCATCTTTCCTACTTCCTTTCATAATTCTATAAAATCCGTAATTTTTCCTCTGAACATCCTCCTTCCCCCTGTTTTCAACTTTATAACTTAATTCAGAAATATATAAAAAGATATATTCCTGTTTTACAAGATTCTGCATTGTGTTTGTGCATGGCAACGTGCAGTATTATATATTAAACTTAAGCACCTGGATTTCTAGGAATTTATGCATTGTATTCTGTAAATTAGTGATAAGTGATCTCTCCACTCCTCCCTCTATTTTAAACCTGAATGTACTGTACAAGTACTGTCTGTACTGACTTTAAAACCTTGTTAACCTACCGTGACTGCCGCTGATGATTAAAAGAATGATTGATATCTCAACTTCCGGTGAAAACAATGAAAGTGTGTGTTCATTGATATTAGAAAATAGGAATTGACTATAAATGTTGATAATTGAATTATGAGCTGGCAAGAAATAAAACAAATACTTCAAACCGACTGTTAACCCTATAAAGGCTGGGGGGTCTGAATCTATGTATTGTATAGCCTGGGGGGGGGCCGCCTAGAAAAATGCCTTAGAGAATAGGTATAGGGTTTAAATACATGTTCATAGCCCAATTTTTCAAGGCCAGCTCATAGAAAAAATCAGAACGTTAACTTTAATAGTTTGGGTGCTAGCGAGGGTTAAAAAAGTGAAAAGAAATATTTTTTTTGTTATCAAATATCAAAGTGTGACGCATGTTTCTACATGCATTTTTCAAGGGCTTTTTAAAAAATATTTTTAGATTTGTAGCTTTAGTNTATAGATAATAGGTGTTGCAAGGGGTCCTTGAAGGGGAATTAATTTAACAAAAAATCCTTTAAATTACTACTCATTAAAAGTCTAAAATTCAAGGTGATAATGTCAAAAATGAGAGTGGTAGGACAAAAAACTACAGGGGGGGGGGCGCCAAGCCTGTTTAGGGTTAAAATTTATTTTACTACTAGCAAATAGTAACCCATGTTTGTATGGAGTTTTCAACTTAGAATTTTAAAACCAGGCTAAGAAAATTTTCGTGGTGTTTCTGAGTTCCTCAATCAAAATTTGAGGCAAATCGGTCCACGGGTTCATGAGTTATGATAAGACATCCAAACATATTAACAGAGATTAAAACTATATATAGAGAGAGATAAGTCGCCCAAAGTATGTATACTAAAGATACTGGGCAGAGCTGTGATGTATTTTGAATGATAAATAACTAATTTTATAAATTTTATATAAATAAATAAATAAAAGATAATAATTAAGCACGACCTTCCTACCCATCCTTTGTTTACAATCTTTGTTATTGTTTTTATAAAACTAGCTCTTAACAGTTCAAATAGTTAGCAAACAAATGTATGACAAACCCATATCCCCCCCCCCTTTATTATATATACCATGAAACGTGATTCACCCTATTTCCTAAAAACCATTGCTGAAAACCCAAAATTAATATTTTTTTATTTTAGGAGAGTCAAAATCGATTCCATACCTACTATTATCCTTCACTTCCAAGATCATTTAATGAAGTCAGGACAGAGAAGGTACGCCCCTGTTAATACAGTGAGACCCATAAATCTGTGGAAGACGATTGTTAATAATCTAATTAATTCATTAAATATGTCAATTATACAGTGTGCACAGACAGACCCATTTGACTTAATAAGTTGATTTTCATACTGTGGGACATTACATATTAGTTGACAAGTTGCTTTAATGTCGTCTTCATATTCCATAGGTTTACAGGTCTCAAATTACTTTTATGTTTTATTTTACCAAAGAAAATTTTCTTTCCTACGTTATTGAGCAGATTTTTTTGTGGATTTTTCAAAGAAAATACATATTTAGTAAATATTTAAATATTTTAAATATTGTATTCAAAACGTGCAAGATTGGAAAATTCCATTAATCAAATCTTTTTAAACAATTTTCTAAAATCATTTGGCGTAAAGAAAAGATGTTGATAAAATATTTTTTAATTTTAAAACTTTTCTTTTTGTTTAGAAGGAGGTTGAGTTGAGTCCCTTGAGGGTGAACAGTGCTGTCGCCGAAGAACCACAGATGTTTCACAGATTCATGGCGGTTCCCTGAACAAGAAAATCCACCATTTCAAATTCAAAATTTTCCCGCCAAAATGTGATCACCAGTGATAGTTTGGTTTGGACACTTGACTAGATGTGCCAAATAATGTAAATATTGTAAATCTGCACTTGAATCTGAAGCCGACATTTTAAATCTTGATAATGATACATTCTAGTTAATAAAGCTTTACATATTTTCTGGTTTACAATAAAAAAAACAATTAACCATCTCTCATGTACTGCAGGGTGTCCCAATAAGCATGGAAATAATGGAACAAAGACGATATAGAAATCGTTACTTTATTCCATGTTTATTGGGACACCCTGTGTATATTTAGCCATCATTCACCCGTTTCGAGATTCATTTAAATAATTTAAAACTGCGAAGCTTGAATGTCAAACTTTGGTCCGACGATCCTAGATCCCTGCAAACCAAGATTTGCACACTCTCCCCACATATATCTCATTTCAAATGACAAAACATATCAAAATGCAAAACATAATAAAAATAAAACATATTAAAAAATAAAACATATTAAAATATAAAACATTTCAAGATACAAAACATATCAAAAGTAAAAGTTAGTTTATTTTGATACTTTCGAGATTTGACATTTTTTTATTTGATGTGCTTAATAATTGTGATACGGTCTGTTTTGATATGTTCTGATTTTATAGGTTTAGTTTTGATATGTTCTGATTTGACAGGTTTAGTTTTGATAAGTTTTGTAATTTGACTGGTTTAGTTTTGATATGTTTTGTAATTTGACAGGTTTAGTTTTGATATGTTTTGTAATTTGACAGGTTTAGTTTTGATATGTTTTGTAATTTGACAGGTTTAGTTTTGATTTGTTTTGTAGATTGACAGGTTTAGTTTTGATATGTTCTGTAGTTTGACAGGTTTAGTTTTGATATGTTCTGATTTGACAGGTTTAGTTTTGATATGTTTTGTAATTTGACAGGTTTAGTTTTGATATGTTTTGTAATTTGACAGGTATAGTTTTGATATGTTTTATAGTTTGACCGACCCATATTACATAGCTAGGCTTACGTAAAAACTACAAACTCAAGGGTTTAATTCATCGTAATTAAATTAGATTGCAACAATAGCCTTAATTATAATTTTGTTGGTTTTTGTTTTTACACAAATTTAATGTTGAAGATAAAGTGATACTAATAATGTATTGTTATATTAAAACTATAGATAATAGGTGTTGCAAGGGGTCCTTGAAGGGGAATTATTAATATACAATATAATACGTATATTATGAATTATAAAATAATTATAAATATTATAATTATATACTTTTTAAACATTTTTGTAAGAATGGTGTATGGTTTGAATGATAGAAAATAAGTTGCAATATACATATATATGCAAGATTTTACATATAACCTATTCATCAATTCATCAGTGTGATCATTCCATCTAAAGTATTTAATAATCTAAGAAGGCAAAATTTTACACCAGAAAAGAGTTTTAAAGCATTGATTTTTATTCTTAAGCTAAGAGGAGTATGTAAGCCAAGGAACTATATACAGGAGCGGTCAACTCAGATATACGCAAATTGTGTACTGTACTGTGTGGGAGGAATGTAAACAAACCCAAACAAAAATAAGTTAATATATCAAGTTAGAGTAAATACAAATGATTTTTGGCTTTCTGGTCAACATGGAAAATACAATAGCAATATATTCTTATTCCACCCCTTGGGATCTTTTCCCTCAGAAAATGATGCGTTGCTCTGTATTCTTTGTTTTGATCTCCTCCCACTGCGCAGTACACAGATTTGATGCATCAGATATGGCGGTTCCTGGTCTATATTTCTTGATGTAACCTATTCCCCCACGTTTTCGTTTTTGAAATTATTTCTTTTTAAAATCAATTATCAAATAAAGTTTGATTTATTGAGCAGTCTTTTGCTGGGATTCCGTTGGGTTCCCGGGGCAGGGTTCTGCTAACTACCTGGGTTCGAACAGGATATTGCTTGGCTCATGGCCGCATGGCCCCTCCTCCCTATATCAAGCAAAGCGGGGCTGTCCCCTCCTTCCATTCCTCAAGATCTTAACAGCATTTGTGTTGTATGTACAGGGTGTCCCATATCATATTAGATCGTCAATCGGTCTAAATTACGATTTTCGGGACCAATCAGAAAATTTAAGAAGAATGAATCATTTCGAAAAATTAAATAAGGCTAATATAAGAATTTTCTTGCGGAAAATGCTAGGTTTTTCTAATATTATGGTTTTATTTTGGCGTTGAAACTTGGAGGTAATCTAATATGATATGGGACGCTCTGTATGTAATCTACATATGCAATATGCATCCATCTTCTGTGTACTGTGTTCTGTGAAGATAATCAATCAAAATTATCAGAGGTCAGAAATTTTGAGTTTTGCAACTTTGGATCACTCATTGATCTCCATCTTGTGCAGACTTACGTTCGGATTAATTTGATTTTTCTTCGATTACACCCTGCAGGGTCATTATTGATTGAGGAATTAAGTATTGATCCTCAAATTTAAAAGTGTCCACATTGGATAACGAGATCAAGTGTTCAAGATTAACAATCATACTTTAATTACAAGTTCTGACCTAAAAGGAAATTTAGAATTTATCACATTTAAAAATAGTTGTTTTTACATCGATATTCCTTGAGAATTTAAAGAATTAAAACCAAACACTTCCAATAATTGTCATCAACTAGCATATATTTACAAAATATGTAGCTCATTAACTAAAGGAGCTACGAGGTTACAAAGTTGATTCAATAATATCAATAATGTCAATATTGTCTTGGTTAGAGAAAAAGCATTTTAATTGTTTTATAAAACTTTGAAAAGCGTTCCGAAATTATGCGCAATATATCGCCGAATTTTTTTTTCGTTAAATTCAATTATACGAAAAAATGCAAGCATTTTGCTCAGGGCATATTTTGTGTGAAACCCCCCCCCCCCTCCAATTATTATGATTGATAGTTAACAACACATTTGAGAAATCCACGTTTTTATAAGTTGACTAAATAATAATTGTGGTTTTTAGCAGAGATAAATGTGGCTTTGACGGTTTTTTCTTTGCCAAAAAGACAGAAAGATTGATTCGTTTTGTTCAATCTTTTTCCAAGAAACTAATGATTTTTCTGTTGTTCTGTGCAAAATTTTAGCAAATTTTTAGCAAAATTTTAGCAAAATTTTGGCACAAATTCGTCAACAAAAATGTTTTATAAACATAAACATAATCATAAAAATTAACATAAACATAAAAATAAACATAAACATAAAAATAAACATAAACATAAACATAAACATTAACATAGATAAAATGCAAACTAAAAGACTTCTGTTGCGTAATGTAAAAATCTGTTTTGTACTTAATTACAAAGCGCTAGTTTTAATGATGATTTAGATGATAATTAAACTACTTCTAGGGTGTTCACTATAGGAGTTTGCACGAATAATACAACCTGTGGATGAGGGGGGGGGAATAAGATATAAAGGGACTGTTCTTGTAGTTTCACATGTGTTTAAAGAGGAGCATGCCTGATATACAACGGTACCCTTTACACCTTCATCTGATCAATATTGTGGAAGATATCGTCGTTTCTCTAGCTTCTACTTTTTGTTGCTGAAACAGAAATTGGTTTAAGCCATTTTATACAAAAACTACAAGGGGGAAAAAAAATATATTCTCAAGAAGAAAAAGATGGATAAAAAGAAGCTTTTAAGGGTACTTTTGTGAATCTGACAGGTTGCTCCTTAGATACGGAGGGTCACATGCAATTTCAACTACAGTCCCTTTAATAGCCTTTTTTATTTTAGTATATACTACTTATATAATTAATTAATAATTATTATAATTAATTTTAGCCAGCTTCTAATTAAAAATATTAGACTTGTAAATTTAATGGTTCTGGAGGTCTAGGAAGGTTTTTAAAAAATTGAAAAAAAACAAAAAACATTTTTTTTTGAGAACTGTATAAATTGGAGAGATGGTTTAAAATCTTGAATCACCGGTTCAAATCCTCCTCAATCTTTAACTTTAAATCAATGAGTCAGGATTTGAACCGGCGGTAGGTAGATTAATTAAAAGTTTTATTTTGTAAACGATTAAAGAATTTAAAAATTACTAGTTTTTATTTAACTTTTATCTATTGTTTTCAGAAGATCCTGTTTGTTTATGATTGCCTGAAGGAGAAATACTGCCACGTAATTATAGTGTTTTTTTGTATTATTTATTGCAACCTTCACTTGTATTTATCAACCCCAAACTGTTTAAATTTAATGCACAAAATTGCTGGATAATGTACAGGGTTATTCAAAGTTGATAAGACTTTTCCAACTTCAACAAAAGTACTATAGAGTTGGAAGTATTACATCAATAAAATGATTGAAATAATGAAATCAATGAAATCAATAAGATCAATAAAATCAGTTAGTACAGTACAGAAATACATTAGAAAAAAGTACATTACAGTAATATAGTTAGAAAACGTACAGTACAGCGCTATAGTAAGAAACAGTACAGCTTATACATTGCTATTGTTAAAAACAATACAGTACAGTAATACAATTGAAAAAAGTACATTACAGTACAATAGTTAGATAAAGTACAGTACAGCACTACTTTTAGAAACAGTACAGTACATTGATAATTGTTAGAAACAGTACAGTACAGTTATACAATTGAAAAAAGTACATTACAGTACAATGGTTAGATAAAGTACAGTACAACACTACTTTTAGAAACAGTACAGTACAGTTATACAATTGAAAAAAGTACATTACTGTACAATGGTTAGATAAAGTACAGTACAGCACTACTTTTAGAAACAGTACAGTAAATTCCTAATTGTTACAAACGGTACAGTACAGTTATACAATTGAAAAGAGGAAAGTGCCGTACTATATTACAGGAAATGTAAGAGGAGTTTTTTTGATTCTCACTGTAATTTTTAAAGACTTTCTGTAAATAAAATCAAGGAAAATGAACAGAAAATACCCAATAAATCCGTGAAAATATTGAAGAGCATGACCAATCGTTTACTTAGTACAAAACAATCAATCCTTGGGTTTCACACCTTCTGTCTTCCAAAATTACATTAATCAACGTATACATGGAGAGTCTGAAAAATAATGGTTTAATCCAAAATTCGGTTTTCTCAAAGTTAAAAAGTTTAAACATACAGGTTAAAAAAAA